TGTGGCCTGACATTGATTATATTGGATTATCATCTAGTCATTTCATTTGCATAGCATTTTACATGTATTTTGAAAAAGGCTTAGCGCTCTCTCCAAAATACAGTAGCCAGAAGAAAGGTTTCAGGCGTTGTAATCTCGCCTTTAAAAATGATCTGAGCAATCGTACCATGTAAGTCCAGAGTTACATTTGCACGTCTGAAGTTTGTACCTAATCAATGAATGAAACCCAGAGCTTAGCTTTCAGAGCTAGCATGATGAAAAAGGATGGAAGAGCCTCTGGTGACGTGTCTCTGTAAAGCACAGCACCTTCAGCCTCAGGAGCGGTGCAGCAGAGCATGTTGTAAGCTGTCCCAGCCTCACCAGTACCGCCCTGGTATGGCTAGCTCGTCTGGGGGTGCTTGGTGGCTAAAAAGTGATGGCCTTTGCCCCATCTATGCCATTTGTGATGGTGGTGTGATTGCACGAAGCACTCTTAGATGCTTTGTCCACCCTTGGCAGTGGGGTAACATTGCCAGCAGACTCATGGCTGTTTCGGTAAAGCTGTGCTCGGTTTGAAGGCTGGCGTTTGCCTGAGTCCACTTCCCTCTCACTCCCTCAATAAATGGGTAAATGTTATGATAGAGTCCTCAGGAGAAATACCTATCAGCGTGCTGTGTGTTGGTCTGTCTGATTTCTGAAAGGGTGGTTTTAATATGAGGAAACAATCATCTTTCAAGGAAATGAAACTGAAATGATGTACAAAAGTTCCCGGTTATTAGGGATTTACATGTGTTACTGAAAACTCGGGGAATGTTTGGCTTGGTGATGCAGCAGCCTTTGTTACAGTTGGGCTGCTGGACTCCGTTGTAGCTTTTCAAGTGTTGGGCTTACTCTGCAGGTAACCAATATATGGGCAAATGCCCTTTTGGGGCTGGTGTAAGAATTTGGGAAAAACAGCTGTAGAAACGTTTGTGGTAGAAGATACAGGGTTCAAGGGCACTGCTTGGTTGGCTGCTTCCTTCCTTCCTTCAGAGCAGCATTCATTTTACAGAGGGGGTTGGGAAGTCGTTCTGTGGCATGTGTGGGTGCAGTGAATGTTTTGTGGGAACTTCTGGACTAAACAGCAACTATGTGGTTGCATGCAGTTGTTGGGAATTGAGCTCAGTAACCTGGGTGGTCTCGTCCTGTCCTGCAAGTGTTGCAGGCTAAGTGCATAGTTTTTACTTGCTATTGGTATGAATCTTAAAGCTTGACGTAAATGTTTCACCCTTTTTATGCTTACATGTGAATTCTCTTTGCTTGCAGGCATAGCCAATTTGTACCGTTAAACTAGCTGTGGTACAGTTAGTCTTGATGAACCTGCCTTTAGTTCTGACCCGTTGGAACTGACAGACCTACTTCAGTTTCGGAATATGTTTTAATGAGAGCAGAGTTGGATCAGATGCATTGTATGTGCACCTGAGTATATTAAGTGTATGTCAAAGTCAAGAGAAAAATACCAACGTTTTCACGACTGTGAAGAGTGAGAATTTCAAAGAAAATTAATATTGCTGGCACTCAAATCTCAGATCAGGAAAGGAAAGAGAATAAGTAATTTTACTGAAAAGTGTGGGTTTTTTTCATTCTGCCTTTTCCAGTATAAAAATACCTCCTTATTTGTAGCTAAGGTTGTCCCAGATGTCCCATGAAGAATGAGTTACTATAGTTTGTTTGGGTTTTGGTTTTTTTTTTTTTCCTCTTGAACATTAAAAAAGCGTTACTTGAATTCACAGTATTCTCTAAACATGCTGGGAAAATGTCTGTGGTTGAACAGGGAAAGCCTGCGCCTTCAATCTGCACCTAACCATCACTATCCGTAATCCGTGTTTATTTTTAATGCAGCTCTTACGTGACTTTGAGGTCACCATCGCCTGGTAGAAACCGATAGTCTTTGAGGCACAGGCACTGTGGTACCCTTAAGAGCAGCAGCATTTCAATCTGTGTGGTTGTAATTCTTATTAGCCGTTCTAGTGTTATCTCTAGAATGTGTGTTCTGAACTGTGGATATGAACATCTGGTGGGACCAGTTTAAAATTACTTTAGAAGCTGGAAAAAGCTGTTTTATTACTTCTAATGACAAAAATTCTAGGGGGTTAATCTTATGAGATTTGAGACTTGCTCTAAGAAGCCAAATGCTGCTTTTCCAACTCTGATTTAGCTCCCTGTAAACTCAAGTTAGGTTCAAAGATGGGAAAATCAGATCTCTGGATTTTAACTCTTCTCCGCCCCCCCCCCCCCCCTGCATGTGCATCTGTAAAGGATGTGCATCTGTAAAGGAATCTCACAGAAGCTTCATCAAATGGGGTATTTCTTTTAATGTTACTTTTGAGAACACAGGCTTTTCATTGTAGCCGACTTCAGAAACCTGACTAGAGTGGACAAGGAAGTTAGCTGCCTTATCTAATACTCTGTACTCCAGGAAAGTGGCTTCTCTTCTGGCTTCTCTTACTTTCTGAAGGACCGTGGAGAGTGCTTGAATTGGGAGGTGTGAATACCACTCTCTCCTTTAAATAACAACAACAAAGATGTTTGTTTTGTAAAGATGATGTGGTAGGAAGGAGAAGCTTCTGGGTCTTTTCTTACTTTCTGAATTTGCAGAAAGCATGGCTAGGAGAAGATGAACTCAAAACACACTTACCCAAAAAGATGTGGAGGAGCAGAATTTCAAATTTTCTTGTTCATTGCAAGCTCATGAGTGTGTCTCAGTGTATACAAGCTATGTTATTTTGCTTTATGGTGCACAGTACTTTTCAGACCATGTGGGAATGAACCAAGAAGGGAGGATTTTGACCAGGAATATACAAGTTACATTTCTAAGATAATTTTTCTTTGTTTTCTTCCATATCCTCTTTACTTTGTTCACGGGAGATATTTCCATTCTAAGCGAGTATGTTGTTTTACATTGCTGTTGTTAATATTTCCTTTAATTAAAGCATGTGAACTACTAGAAAAAGTACCTTACAGAATAGATATTTATCCCCCTAGATTTGGCCTTGTAGCAGTTAATTGATTTTTCAGTTCTGTCTTAGCTTGTTTTGGGTCTGAATGTTGGCTTTCTGTCTTTGTAAGTGACCATATCAGAATTTGGCTCTGGATCTACTATATTTATACCAGATCTGTATTCAGATGGTTTTGATGGTGCAGGCTGGTCTGTGTATTTATTCATTGGCAGCGTTTCCATCTGCCATACACACAAAGTTCTGGTCTGCTTCAAAGCAATTCTTTTGGAGAGAATTCTTCTAGCACTGTCAGAGGTTGTCATTTATGATTCTTCATTCTCTGGCATCAGGCATTATATGTGAACTTTTACTCTATGAAATGGTGACAAAAGGTCTTGGTGAAGTGAACCATTCAGCTGCTCTTTAGCCAGCGAAGTGTGCAGCTCAAACTGTTACATGTTTCAAAGGCAGCCATATTAAAACCCACTCTGGAGAGTCACTGTGGGAGGGTCGCTGCCCCCCCAGCTCTGGCTGCATGTGTAATATGAAAGAGGAGGCAATCTTGCAATGCTTGGGCTCTTACAACTATATTAAGTTCACTGGAAGTGTAAAATAGAGTCTCAGGTTCAGTTGCTTGTGATTTGCTAGTGATGATAAAATGAATTCCCTCAAAAAAATGCTTATTTCTTTTTATATGAACCCCTTTTGGGAGAGAAGATATTTTTGTGCTTTTTTTTGGAAATAGTGTCAGGCTTTGGTTAGGCTTTTTGGGTTTCCTTATTTGGGAATTAGTCTTACAAAAGTTGAAAGCATTATTGTGTTTACTACAAGGAGATATCGTCTCAGTGAACAAAGTTGTAGTAGTTAACTGTATGCTGAAGGGTCAATGAAAAGAGTTTTGTTGAAAAGTTTCTAGGAAATCCCAACTCACCTGAAAATGAGGAGGTTAGATTTTATGCACCTACCTAGAAGCAAAAAAGTATTTTGGCATCTGATTTCCAAATCTTCACCCCAGAGTTATGTACGAGGGCTTTGCTGCAAGCAGAACACCCAGACCTTGTTGCTAACACAATTGATATGTGGTAAGCAAAGACTCGGGGATTTGACGTGCATCCAGAGTCCTTGTCAGTTTAACCAGTGGATATGCCTTTCTGCACTTGTCATGTTTTTTCTGCTTTCCAACTTAGACTTTTTAATAGCTTTTTACATGTAAATGCTGACTAGCTATTCACAGCTTTTGTAATTTTTCTGAATTTGGTTTCCACAGAGAACACGTGCAAAAATACCAACACCCTGTGAATAGCAGTTAGAAAGATACGGACCTTTTTGCCTGTACATCACTGGTTCACGTGCAGTTGAACTCAGTATTGCTAGAAGTCTGGCAGTTTGGAGGAGCTTCTGCGTAATCGATTGGTGGTCTGATTCCTGAAAAACAGCTGGTGTTAGGCATGGCACTAGAAATGTGCCTGCAGGAGGAAGTAACCAACTCTCTTACTTTAGTGGGTGGTGCCTTCCAAGGCATAGACGATGCGTGTTCAGTTAATCTGGGAAAATTTGGCTTGCTACTGCTGATGTTTCTTTTTTTTTTATGTATAAGTGGATGACTTTAATCTTCGATTTCGTAAATCTGGCACTTTAAACAGGAATAAAATGGTTCCAAAAACATATTAGCCAAAGTAAATATTTACACAAGCAGTAAAAATGTTATTGTGTTGCAAATCTAGTGTCAGAATGGGCAGGGGAAGTTAAGCACACTGACTGCAGATATTTAGTGATTTAAAGACCTCTCAGAACAAAATACGCTTTTGTTTTGGGGTGGAAGTGTTGGTGGGGTTGTCGTTGATACTCTCCAATTTTGTTCACCTGCTGGTATGATGACTGCCTAATTAAGCATCCTTGAGATATTCACTGTTCATATTTCAGAGGCTGTTTAAAGTTGTTTGTTTTCCTTTGTGTGCTGTAAATCCTCGAATGCCATCAGAAACACAACTTGATGACTGTGTGTTATTATCTTGGGTTAAGTGCTGTCTCATTGCTTTGCAGGCTGCCTGCTGTTTCCCGTGGAGATCATGAAACGACGTCGGCTTCCTAGCAGCAGTGAGGATTCTGACGACAATGGCAGTAAGTGCTCCTTTGTTGTAGAGTGCAGTAGGTTATGAGTTTGAGAACATGTTCTAATGCAGTGTTTTCTGTGACAGAGGCATTTTGCATATTGGTTGGACTGGTGGAAGCGTGTATTATAAAGATCTAGTTTTGAACTCGGTCACTCTGAGCACAGGTGGACAGTAGATTCAGGATTCCCCCCACTGTATTGACTATACAGTGTTAGTTAATAAGATAAAACAAGTGAAAAAGTTGGTTGTCTTTAAAATCTTTGCAAGCAGTATAATTTATCATTACAAGGACAGAACTTGCATGGAGGCATCTGCTAACATTGTCCACAGCTTAGTATTTAATAGAAGTTTGCATTAGGATTTTGAATTTGCTTCAGTTCTCTCATGCTCTCTTAGGCAATGGAAAGGTATATTGCTTCAAACTTAAGCAGAAAAGATTGATGGTGCATAAAAGTTGTTCCTTACTTTGTTTGAAGATTATTTTATTTGAGGAATAACTTTTGAGAATTTGAATTCAGTAAATCAGTAATTTGCATACAGAATGTATTTATTTTTTGTAACTGTTTCTGTAGTGACATAGCTAATACTGAGCTCTGTAGGGTATATATAGGTGTCTTGTGTATGAATTCCAGGGACTGATAATCTTTCATTTAAGCAGAAAAAAAAAAAAAAGGAGGGGGGGCAGGGAGATAAAATGGCAGTTTGGGAAATGTGCCAAGGTGTTTTATTTGCCCAAACAAGCAAGTTGATTGTACTTGACAATAGTGCAGCTTAGCCAGTTGTCAGAGAGATTTTCCTGGTTTTCATTTGATCTGTCTGGGTGCACATCTTCAAATCTGAGGTCTTTTGTGAGACTTCAGTCTGAAATGTAACAGAAAATGATCAGGGAGGTCTTCCAGGTGCTTTTGAAAGCTTTACTCTTGAGAACGTAGCCCTGTGCTGCACTGTGGCCCTGCGTAGGTGACTGCTCTATCTGCATGCATTTCTTAGGTGTGTCTGTGCTGCATGGGAATCTGCTCAGGTATGGCCAAATCTGCACCTTAAAACAACCTTAGGTAAACTATTGCTGAAATGAAGGAGTGGTAAAAGGATTGGAGGAGGTGAGAAATAGCAAGCTGATTAGGAGTTAGGCCAAATAAGGATTGAGTAAAATCTATTAAAGCGGTGTGGGATTTGGCTTGGTTTTGGAGAACTACCTGCAGTTGGGGGATTTTGGAAGAAAAATATCCCAAATCAGACCTCTTTTTTCTTGGTGAGGAGTTTATTTGGGGTTATAGAAATTGAAGTCAGTGTATTTCCTCAAAGGTGATGTGTACTTCCCCAAAATAAAGGTGTGATTTTACTTGTAAAATAGACAAGTAGCAGGAAATGTGATGTCTTTCATTAGAATTTTGCTTTACCCTTTTTTCATTCCCTAGCAGCTTTATATAATAGTGTTTCGCTTTGATAATAGTGTTTATTTTCACACTCTTACCTGTTTGGTTTTTTTTTTTACTCTTTGATCCCTTCATATGCCTTGTATTACAGGCTTTACCAAATAAAATATGAAGCAGATAATCTTGGAATTGAAGTTCTGAAATAGATACAGTTGACTGATCTGTTGCTGATTATAATGCTTGATTATAATGTCATTTGATATATAACTATCTGGAATAGAGCTGTCGCCTTACTGAATTATGTTTTGCAAAAAACTGTATTTTCATCTGTTCCATAGATGAAGATCTAAGAAAATGAGTTAGGGAAA